TTCAACACAAAACATGGAGTAAAGAGTAAGAGAGTCACAAGTAAAGGAGGAGAATTAAGGGAGAATATGGTCTTTATCCATCACAGATGGATGCAATTTCAGCTGAGCGAGGTGCACCAAATATGAGATTTGCAGTGTTATTCATGATGGTGTGTTAAATGGCACTAACATGGAAAAAAAAAGTAGTCTAAAAATGTAAATTAATTGGGTCATTTCTTTCATTTCTATAGAAACAGCAGAGCTTGCCAGCAGCAAACTCAAAGGAGATGTATTTAGATACCCGAATCAACTATTTTCTTTCACAACTGACCAAAAAAAAAAAAAAAAAGAATCTGACAATACTAGCATGGAAACTGCAGAGCACAACATATGGATTTAATTATTAGCTATGAAATTACATGTATGGTACAGAACACATACGGGAGACGTGCTCCGCTCCCATGTGTGCTCCCCCAGGGGAAGGGCTATAACTGTGTATTTATTAAATGAACTGCTAATATGCTTCTCCCAAATTGCTTCATAAATGCAAACCTGTGTGAGATCTGTATCACTTGGCGAGGCCTCCACTGCTCCCCCGTGAGCCCCTGCTCTCGTCATGTCTGCTCCTGCGGCACAGGGACGTGCAGGCCCCACCATGGCTACCCGGGCCCAAGGCTCTCTGTACCCTGCGATGGGTGTGTGAGGTCCAAGAGCTGGTAGAAGGTAGGTCTCAGGCCTAGCCCCACCACCAAAAAGCCTCCTCATCAGTGGAGGAGTCGTCATGATGGACTCTGAGGATACCAGAAGCATTTCGGCCGGGCTGGGTTGGCCGTCGCCAGGGCCAGAGGCTCCCTGGGGAAACCATCTTCTTTCTGTCCTGGAACCAGAGGAGGAAGGTGACTTGCCAGGGCATCCTTTCTAAGGGGATCCCCTCTAAGAGCTCTGCAAACCAAGATACTAAACCAAGATGCTCAGGAAGAGCCACTGTGCTTCCCCAGGCCAGGAGCAGCAGGGGCTGGAGCAGGGTTAACATCTTTGGGGGGCATCTGAATCTCACCAAGGCTTAGAAGAAGGCCCCCAAATCTCACATGGCCTCTTGTCCCTGGTCCCATTAGTGTCCCTGGTCCCATTAGTGCAAAGGTTGGGCCAGGTCACTGCCATGGGGACAGTAGTGCAGCCTCAGCACCCCTGGACTGGCAGTGTCCCTTACTCGGGGCTCCTCGGGGCATGTGGCAGCCGAGCTGGCTCCTGCAACTCCACGCATGGTCTAGGCTTTGCAGGGGACACAGACTGTGAGATGGCTCACGGGGACTCACTGTCATGTGTTGGCCGTGGTTCAGAGCGTGCTGCGTTCTCCTGCAACAAGACTTCCCTGTGTGCTGCATCACAAGCCTGGGTCTGGCCCCAGCAAAGGGGAGCAAGTTTAATCCCTCGACAGAAATGTGGGAAAGATTAAACGTCCATTGTGTCTTGCACTGCAAAGTCTCTTGCAGATGGATCATGGTCCCCAGCGAGCGCCAGTTAACAAGGGAGTGGAAAGAGAGGGAAAAGGAGCAGCGTGAGCCCACAGGGTTACTACAGGCAGCACCGTGACATCTGAGCAGTGGTGCCTGTTGAGTGCTCAGGGCAGTGCTGCTGGAACCTGACGGTGGGGAGTTCCTAACCTGGATCTGAAAGGGTTCGAGCAGAGCTGTCCCTGAGGCAGTGCCCTTCCCTTTGCCCCAGCCACTCTGTGCTTGCCATGCTGCTGCCTCTCCATTTCCTGTCTCGTTAGGCAGATGTGTTTCCGTGAGATTCGGCAGGGTTGGACACTCAGGTTCATGCCCAGCAGCTCATAAGCTCATGCTCATAGCACACACTTTCCTCATCGTCACCCAGGCCGCTCCTGACCTGGCCTCCTATGCGGGCTGGAAAGGGTCCCGAGCACCAAGGACTGCCCCTTGTCCTCATCCCGCTCACCTTCTCTGGGCACAGAATTGCCTCTTCTCCCAGGCCCTTGGGCATTTGCAAAATGTGATTTCAATGACAGCAGGTGTATGGGCAGGAGGCAGCCAGAGGTGTCCCCTTTGCTGGGGACATCTGCTGAAGGCTATTTAGAAAGAGCCCCCCGTCCTTGGGCAGCCAGGGAGCCTCACGAGGCCAGGACTGATTCCGCCGAACACACTTCCTGCAGAAACAGTGCTGATAAAATCTCAAGTATGGGCAACTGGCTGTGCGCGGGCCTGCAGTTTTGGCCTCTGACAGGCTTGGCTGCTTTCCTTAATGCTCCAGCCCTCTGTCGCTGGCTGAACCAATGATGGTTCCTGGTGATGTCGTGTCATCACAGTGATGTCACTTTGCACAGTGACGCGATATGCCAGCAACGCCGCACTGCTGCAGTGACATCATGGTGATGTCGTTTTGGTGATGCTGGAGGCTCCCCTCTCCAGCCAGCCTACAGTGAGGGGGACATTCACCCTCCCTGAGCAGCACATCCATCCTCGGGGCTCGCTATCATGGCCAGCAGCAGGGATTGCAGCTCTGTGCACGAGCTCACGATGGCCCTGGTCCTCCTCCTAGCCCTTGGCATCCTTCTGTGCTGCCCACGCAGCTCCCAGAGATGCAGCCTGCTCCCTTTGGGGGCTGCATGGACCCAGCCAGAACCGGGACCCAAATGCACAAGGTCTTCACCCCTGTGAGCTCGGTGTCCGTGAGGACAAGGCAGCTCAGCCTTGCTGTTGTTCCTGACAGTGATGGGCAGTGCTGGGGCTCCCCAGGGAGCTCAGGGTGCTGCCTGCAGCGCACCTGCCTGTTTGTGCACCAAGGAGCTGCTCCAGCACCGCTAACATGAGGGGATGGAGGTTTGATTAGCACCCCTAAAACCTGGGTGTGCAGCTGCTGCACTGCTAGGGGATGCCCTTTGGGAGGACACGCAGCTCTTTAGTCCCCAAAAGACAGGAGTCTTCAGGATCATCTATGGGGAGAGGGAATTTCAGTTCCAGGAGAAGTCTCAGCAGCTTTGGGAGGCAGCTGTGTATTTTTACAAGCTGACGTGGTCTCATTAACAAAACTGATTACAGCTAATGAAGTAAAACCGAAGCAGAGAATCACAGTGGTAAGGGAGGAGACCCAAGCGCCTCTTCCCTCCTCCGTGCCTCGCAGCGCAGCTGTGCTCTGGACACTCCTGCTCTCCTGCTCCGCAGCTATTCCAAGCTGCAGGGATCTCATGTACCAACAAGCTGAGATCTAACATTGCTGTGCAAGTGACTAAGGATTTGTCACCTTCTTTTTCCAAACAATCCCATTTTGCAGCCAGGAAAAAAAAAAAAAAAAAGCAAGGAGGAAGGGAAAAGTGGGTGGAGGAAAGGATTTGGGGCATCACTCATAACTGTGTAACTCTGTAACTGGTGCCCCGTCTAAATGGCACTTAGCCTCTCCTGCATGTTTGCCAGTATATATTGTAATTCCCAGAGCAGTTCTAATCATGCCTGCCTGGGAGACAGGGATAAAGCCTTGGTGTGTGCAGCCTGCCCAGATCCATCCCCTGCACCAAAGCAGGAATATGTGTCCCCAGCTCCCGGAGCTGCCTGCAGTCACTTGGGGTGCAGGAGAGGAGCACAGCAGAGCTGCAGGACACATGTCCCCCTTAAGTTCCCCTTTTTCTATCTTCTGATAAAATCACGGGGCTACTGGCCTAAAGCAAGGGCTCTGTCTGCTGAAGGAATTGAGACCTTTTTCTTTCCTGAAGAGCCACCCTTAACTCCTCAGCTACAGCATCTGGGAAAAAAGCTTGCAAAGGGCAAACTGAAAAAGGAAGGCATGAAGGGTAAACACAAAGCGCACTCTCCTTTTCCCCCAAAGCTAGACTTCTAATCCTCATGATGGTTTAAACTGATTATATTTTTTTTCAGGAGCTGAACTTGGATTTACAAGGCTTAAAGTTAGCAGTGCTGCTGCAAAAGCCAGACCTGCAGCCTCACCTGCAACCTGCACTGGCCCTTCAGTGCACTGCACTGTGTGCTGCACTGTGGATACTTTGTTGGCACCACAACCACAGCAAATCCCTTTCTCATTCTTGATATGCCAGAGAAACTGAGAATGGCAATGCACCTAGGATGCCTGGTGCGATTGCTGCAACTACAGCTCCCCAGAGCAGAAGCACATCACACAGTTTCCCTAAAAATAGGGGGACCTGATCCTGCCTTTGACTTGAGGGCTCTGTACGACACAGGTGTCTGCACCTCTCACGGACAGCTTTCCTACCACGCGCTAGGCTCAGCATGAAAAACAGGAGTGGGTTCCCTGCTGTCACTTGGCTGTAGCAATGCGCCAGTGCAGGACAGACTGTCCTGGGAAGAGGAGCTCTGTGATCAGAGTAAATCTTTCAAGTCGAAAGCGATTTGCATTCTTCTGATGTTTGACTCATGGACATACGGACCACACAAAGGCGCTATGCGAAATCCAGGAGAAAGACTCAGGGTCTATCTGGGCAGATTTACATCAGCAGGATGATGCATAGACCTTCCCTCCACACACCAGACTTGGATGTGCCAGCCTGGCTTTCCAGCCCCTGGGCAGAGGGTCCCTGCTCTTTGCTTTCTGCCCCCATGGATAACATCTTCTCACCTTGAGGAGAGTGGAAGTGGCAGCTGGGATGTGGGCAGGGAAAGAAAAAGAAAAAAAAAAAAAAAAAAAAAAACGTATGGGGTTTTGACAACCCACC